AATCTAGAAGAAATAAACAAAGGATATCAAGATAAACGTCTGTGGTATACAGCCACCCATAATAGTGCATGGGTGCATTCAGCTGTAAGCCCATTTGCAACGCTGCTTGTGTAAGCTCGCCCATGCACATGAGGACTCCGGCAACACTGACTCATTTGTGGGCCTGTGTCGATAGGCTTTTGGCTTGTGTAGAGCCCCATGATTTCTAATGGTCCCCCTGCTAATCTGCTAATAGGGTCACATTTTTGTTGAAGTGATTGCATATGTTATTCTCCTCAAGTAGGCAGGATATTGCTCCTTTAGCAGACTCTAAGTAGATAACTTTGAAACTCTTGAGCCACAATGCAGATGAAGATGAAAGTTACATATTAATGAGTAAACCTCCTGTTATGTCGGAGCATGCATGACTTGAAATTTCTGCACTCCTAATCTCTGACCATTATATTGCTACATAAAGTCCATGATCTATAATTTGGGACACACTTAAGCCTGTTGTCTATTTTAGAGGTGTGGCAGGCTTGGTATATAATTAATACAGAACAACCCTTGCAAGAAGCATTTAAGCGTTAGGTGTTCTTGGCTGGGCAAATGCTGATTAAACATAATAATTAGAAGTCTGCAATCTCAATGAAAGTTTTATCACAGAGAAGACACCCTTATAATTATTGCTGTCTAACTACATGGGAGAGAACTTACCTGAACTGACATTAAATGCATACAAGTAGAGAATAACTATCCTGAAATGGGACTTCAAAGGAGAACTATGAGGTGCGTGATTTACATTCATCCTCAAAGTTAGAGCATACGTCACAGGTTGACTCTATAGATTGGGAAGTGAGCGAACACATACCGTCGCTTGTTCACTTCCTGATCATCTCCCTGCAGAGAGCTGTGACGGTCAGTCACCGCTCCGCACAGGGATCCTCCCCCCCTCCCCGATCCTCCAGCACTGACTGGAGGAGTGGAGGGGGCGGGCACAGCTGGCTCTGCCTCTAGTTAGGCAGAGCCTGCGGTCAATCAGTCAGCTGGGTGGATCTTGAAAGTATTGTCAGGATCTGTAACGGCTGCGGTGCTCTCAGTATATAGCAGGCAATAGCTTGCTATATACTGAGCTTTGGGTCACGGGAGGACGTTAGTATATGTCCTCCCGTGACCCTAAAGAGAACTATAGGATAAAAAGGTTACCCCATAGTTCTCTTTTAAGGCCCTGTCCACACCTAGGCATTCACACCTAGGCAATTTTTAAACATTTGCAAGCGTTCAACTTCAGATGTTTTTCTATTTAGCCCAATGTAAAGCAATAGCAGCTGTGACAAACATGCCCAAAAAACACTCAAAATCACTTGTGACGTGTGTTTTAAAGAGTTTCCATTGAAATCTATAGGGACACAAATGCTCAAATCTGTCTAAAAAAATCACATTTACGTTTTACTTTTTCAAGATATAGGAATTTTTCTGCAATCAACAGAACACTCAGGTGTGAAGAGGGGCCATAGAAAATTATAGGATTGTGTTAAGAGCTTTTTTAGGTTTGAGCTTTAAGCTACAAAATGCCTGGGAGGGAATGGGGCCTCAATATAAATTTGAATTCTAATCAGGTGATTATTTGTGTGACCCTTTCACTAAAGTTCATGCCAAAGGGCAAAAGCTAAAGAAGAAAAATATTGTTCTCATGGTGTAGAATTAGTTTTATCATGACAAGTGACGGATGTGACCATAAAAAAGCAAGCTTTTCTATATGGCTGAACCATCCACAGAAATTGTTATGAGATTCCTGGGTTAACTATAAGTAGATTAGTATGAATACAACCTGTAGATTATTTCCTTTAGTCAATATAACTGGTCTGTACACACTACAGTGCTTTGTGGAACTGTTTACATGAGAGGGCCTTATTAATTCCTAAAATTACATAAGGTATAACATCCCAATACTCTAGAATAGATGGTATTCCATTATCTTGACTATATGTATACATGCTAAAAACCTCTTTTTTTTATATTATTGTCATTGATAAAAAATAACTGTACATGTTGGATATTGTACTTTTTCTTGACATCCCTTGTAGAAACTTAAAAATTTAGCAAATGAACAATAAACGAGTGCTAAAGCAGTATTTTAGAAAAATGGTAACCTAATGCTAACTTGATTTAGTTGATAAGAAGCAATAAAAAGTGTCTTAAATAATAAACTTCTAAAAAGAACGTATGAGAATATAAATATACTGGACACAGCTATTTGTGCACCATGAAAACTAATGTATTTTGCTACATTTTGTACTGTTGTGCAAAATATCTAAAGTGGTTTAGAAACTTTATGCCCTTAGGTCACAGCCGTATAGCTTGAATGAAACTTTCAGCTGTCACATATCATTGGAATGCAATCCTTCCACTTCTCTATTTGTACTTTGACCTTCATTCTGGAAAACTGTATATTTGCCCAGCCAGTTTGTGATTTCATTGTGCTCACAGAACTGCTATGCTCTTACCCATTGACACGTACAAAGCAAGAACTGAAATTAAACTGTCACATTTCCAGTATGATGTATATTGTTAGGTGCATATTTTGTACATGTATTTGGAATGACAGTATTTTGCATTTTATTGCTCTCACTTGTAGCTTTTCCACAGCGTACTTTAGCCATAACACGATGCACCAAATAGAATGTCCTTTCTCAACCGGGGTTCCTTCAGATGTTGCTAGGGCTTCCTTGAGCAGTGAGCAATTTCTGCCTCTCATTTACAGAACCAATGACAACAATGGTCTTTTCAGCTATCTAGCCGTCCTTCACAAATGTACGGAGCATTCTTCCCAGTGACCATCACACTAATGTAAAGGTAGCTGTAGATAAAATAATTATTAGCAGGGGCTCCCTGAGACCGGGACGTTATTTCAGTGATTCCCGTGTCAGAAGTTTGAGAAAAACTCATATAGAGTAACATATGCAGCGAACAATGTTTTATCCCATAACACCGAATCATTAGACTTTCCTTAGTCTTTCTACATTTAGGTACAAAAACAAAAGCTTGATTGGTTGAGATGAGTTGCTGGCTCTTTATATGGCAACACTAACACAGTAGACCTTCATCTTAGAGGGCCAAAAGCAAATATAGCTACTACCTCTATTTCATGTTTTCAAGCACTAAATGAAAATATAGCATGGGCTATTTATGCTGCGCATTACCCATGTTCTCTCGTTATATAAAAGGGGATATGAGGAGAAAGCTACTATACTGAACGCATATTGGATATGCCTAAGGCTTTCTGAGGATCTGTTGGATGATATCCCTGTATATCTCTTACTTCCTCTCCATTCTTTTTCTGTTCTTCTTGCCTTATTCTTGTCCTTCTGATTATTCCTGGGCAACCAAAACACACCTAAATTATTTCCTTTCCAAAGTGGTCGTGGTTTTATTGTGTTTACTCCAAAACATAGCCGATAATATTGTATAAAATATCATAGAGGAGTCTATGACATGTAGTGAGGACAGTGGAATGGACTCTGGGCTCTCCACTCACTGATTTTAGGGATATCTATTTGAATTGACTTTTTAGACAGGCCTCTAAGATCAGAAGGTATTGCACACACCCCGGGCATTCTTTGATTCCCTTCCTTCTGGTAGATTACATATAGTACGGAACTGAACAAATAGTGTCTTCCTAAATGCGGTGGATAGTAAGATGAATTATGAGGGCCCAATTTAAATGATATTTTTAGGATGGAATTGGATTTTTAAATATTGTTATATTAATTTTAAAGTTGCTTTGGAGTGGGTGGATGCTAAACTGTTTTGCTGCGTCGTGTATGCAACATTAATAAAGCATCTTAAAAAATATGTTTTATACCTATCTTTGTATCGATTGAGAATCTAAGTCATAAAATTTGAATCAAGTAAAGATTTTTGTATTAGATGTGCATGTGTAGTTATGTGTAATAGTACCTTGGGTGACCCTGATATCTAACTGCACTGTTTAATGCTGAATCATCAGGTAGCCAATGATAGGAGACTGAAAACTGCTAGAGCAGCAGTTTATCTTGGCACTCCTCTAAGAACCAGACATTTTAATCAGGACTCGTCTGAGCAGTTGTTCTGTACAGAGGGCAAGTCAGCAAGATGAGTTTACACAAGCTAGGTATTATGTAATCTTGGCTGTGTCTATACTTTGTCATATCTGCAAGAATAGCAAAAAAACAGCATATCTCAGAACATTGCTCTGTTACTTTCACAAGAGTATTGTGTCACTTGTCTATGCAGTTTAGATTGATATGACCTGCACCTTTGAATAGTCAAAGAAGTCTTCCATATAGAGCTATGTTCCATATTTTAGATCAACACACACTTATTCCAACATGCAATGTATCCCAATCAGCAGTCTAGTGGTTTGATAAACTATGCTATACATCATCTTACAGGAAACTTATTATGAGAAAAATATGAAGGCTGCCATTATTGACCTCTACTTGCGAAACTTGCTAGTTGTTCAGAAGTTACTATGACCCTCTTACTTCAATATTTGAAGTCCCTGACCTGGAACAAATATGCAGATACGGAGTTCTGATATGTCTCTGATCTGTGTAATTTAAGGTCTATGACCCAGAAAGCATTGATGCTAGTGGGTCAACATAACAGCTAGACAACTAACATTTTTAGAAGGAGGTCAGCAATGGCAACTCTCATTTTCTTCCCGACAGGTTTTGTTAGGACTCCTAAGGCTACAAATAGGCTATAAGCAAATCAACCTCCTACCGCAACTGCCATACAAAGACCTTCTAACGCTATAGCCATACAAAGATAGTTGTGCATAAATCATATATCCTAGCTATTAGTACTACGGATGAATAAAACACTTCAAATAAGAAACCAGGCATTTTATTTGCTGAAAGTGAAACCATGAAGGTGGACATTTCTAATCATCTGTCTATAACAATATTAGAGTTTTCTTACAGAGTTTGGAATGTGTGCACAGGCGCCATTAAGAACCATTTGAGGTAAGACAAAGAACAATATAAAAGCCAAGATGCAAAAATTAGTACAATGCAAATTATGGAATGATTTAAGAATCAGTGCATATGTCATGTTACAGTAGAATGTATAAAATGGAAGTCTTCTGATGTGTACATCAAAAGGGGTTGTTTGTTGGTTTCTTTTCCATCAGGTGCACATCCCTCTAACTGAGATTGAACAAGAGCTTCAACACCATAAAAATGCTGTAGAGAAAGAAAAGTTTATGAAAGCTTTGCAGCATCACTGTAGAATATAGTTCAATATGGAGTCTATTTATTAATACAGATACAGGGCACATATAGGATCTTCACCTGTATCAGTGCATGCAAATTGAGATATCAGGCTAATTTATTTTAAATTTGCAGCAAATGTGGGCCTAGTTATAAAATCAGCACGTCTCCATACGAAATCATTGGATTCACTGATTTAGATTGGCTTATGTTAAAGGAGAACTATGGGGTCAGGACTTTTCCCCATAGTTCTCCTAAGGGTAATGGGAGGACACAAACTAGCGTCCTCCCGTCACCCTAAGCTCAGTATACCGCGAGCTACAGCTCGCGTTATACCGAGACGTCGCAGCTGAAACGGATCCCGACAATTATGTCTGGATCCGCCCAGCTGCGTGAGTGAGAGCTGGCTCTGCCTATCTAGAGGCAGAGCCAGTCGTACCCGCCCCCTCCGTTCCGCCAGTCAGCCCTGGAGGATCGGAGCGGGGCTCTATGTGAACTATGTGTTCGCGCACTTCCCAATCTACTGAGCCGACCTGTGACAGTCTCATTGTCACAGGTCGGCTAGAACCATGAGGATGAGTGAAAAGCACTCACCTCATAGTTCTCCTTTAAATAGTGAATCCATGTTGCACATTTTACAGTAGTGGTCATATAAATATAGCAAATGTACAAATGTTCAAAAAAGAAAACAAAACAGATGCTGATCTGCAGATCTCTTTTCAAGGAGTGAATAATTAATGACGGTATGCTGACGCTTGACCCATAAATAGAACAATATTTTTATTTTACAAACGAAAGCACAAAATAACTAATCACAGCCTGTGATATACAGTATAGACCATTTTGTGAGTCAGTGATGGTGAAAACCAACTTTTGGTGTGTTTAACTTAAAGCTGGACAGACAGCTAAATGCTAATAAACACATGGGACCTGTTTTACCTGCCGCAGGATTTGTGGTTCTCTCCATCCAGTCCTGACATATACATAGTGGTACCAGATTACACAGCCTGGTTGGTGACTTGACTTTTCTCTGCTGCAGTTTTGGCAAAATTGGAAGGTCACATCCCTACCCCAGATAGTGAGTGGAAAGTGCAGAGCTCACCCCTCTGTTATCCCCTCCTGTCTACATATTTTTGTCAGAGCATGTTCATGCAGCACAACTGATTGGTTCCCAATGCTGACCTGCCCCTTCCCGAGTGCTGATATGAAGTAAAATTTAGGAGCTCCAGAACTACCCTTGCACCGCAGGGTTAACTTCTCGCTTTTTTTTCTCGGGGCAAATTTGTTAAGTATACATAATTGCATTAATTTGTGTTTTTTTTTTTTTATTTGTTTAGCGTAAAAGTAATGTATAGTTTTTACATTCCTTTCACTCTATGAAATAGAGTACTTTGGAGATTACCCACTAAAGTGGGCAAGCACTCAATCTGCTGCTATGATAAGCATTGTTTTCAATAGGTAGGCTGACTCACTGGGGTTTATTTATTAAAGGCAAATATGGTGTTCACTTTGCAAGTGAATTTGCACTTTGCAGGGGAAGTGTGGTGAATGTGGTGAAATTTCACTTTGCAAAGAATACTCAATTATGAGCATGGAAAAACAACTGTGCATTGGGTGATAGAGGTCAGCAGAGCTGATTATTTTCCTTTAGTAAATCAACCCCATAGATATGCATTGTGATGTGCATTGTCAGGAGGAACAGTAAAGTGGGTCTATTGTGCATAACAGGAAGCAGACGCTACATAAGAATTGAGCCAATATAGCTTCCCCCATGTGCAAATACAAGTACAAGCTATGCGCGGAAGAACGTTTTCTTTTAAAATTTAAAACCCATTGATAACATGAATGTGAATGTTATTATTGATCAGGCCATTGTATAGCAAGTAGTAGTTGGTAACCTTCAAATTGACTTGCATAGTAGTGCTGAAGAGTTTTAAAGTGGAACTAAAGCCTTACAATAAAAAATTGCTAGGAGTTAGAGTTTATTGACAGAAGAGACCTGCAAGTTGGCACATTATGGCATGAGCTCACCCACCATGTAGTGGACTTTAGTTCTTCTTAACATACCCCAGCACTTACAGTATACCCACATATACAAGTCAATAATCTCAATGCAAACACTATGGTGTTCTTAACTGTGTCAAGACTTTTTTTCCCATAATACCCAAGTAACCAAGTAAATCCATGTTTTCAGATTTAAGCATTTAAAACCATAAATAGAGTAAAAACCCACCTAACTCCAGCTACAATTCCGGCAGGCATGATCTTCTTTGATCTATTGTATCTCAGGCCCATTATTAAACTTAGAGAACCTGGAGCAACTAAGGAAAAACAACACAATACATAGAATAAGTAATTAGATCTTGTAATACACAACAACAAAATTGGAACTTAATATAAATCTGTTACTTTGCCCATTCAGCCAAAGTTCTTGGTTCTCTCAATCACTAATACTTAGCACATGCTCGCCCAGTGCATAGTCACTTGCTACTGCCCTGAGTCTAATCTCTGTGCAAACTCCATGTCAACCTGGTTTGGAGCTTACACGCATGCCCAGAAATGCCACCGGTCACGGTCAGGTACAAAATACCTGTGGTATGTCTGCACATGTGTGGGGGTCTATGTGCATACGCAGACATACCACTGGTGTCTTCTTGGAAACTGGGACCCAGGAAAGATCAGTGGCATGCCTGCGCATTTATGTAGTACTGCCTTCTGGGATGTGTAAGCATCCTTACTAGTCCATAAAGCCCAGCATTGTCTAACTTGTGCTGCTCTGTTTTACTGCTGCAGCTTGAGTCTCCTCTTCATAAAGACCTCCTGGGATGCCTGCTTGTGCACAGACACGCCACAGGCTTCTGCCAGATATTTTGGATCTGGCCAAGACCTGCGCCATGCCTGCTTACTCGTGGATCTTGAGCATGCACAGACATTCCATGGGTCTTGACTAAGTCCTAAATACCTGGAAGAAACATGTGCTATATATGAGCATGCAGGGCAATGCCTACATGTGCGAAAACATGCTGGTTATCTCTGCTAGGTATTTGCAACCCAGCAGGGACCAACAAAATGTCTGTGCATGGGCGATCTCACAGTGCACATGGGCCCTCCATTGAAGTACTGCCCCCTGTGATCTGTGACGTAGACAACTCAGGAGGCAGCGTGGGTCTGTGTGTAGGGGGGAAGCGTAATCCTATGTCATTCTAGCATTTATTATTATTATTAATCTATTCTAGATTAATACATTTTTAGAGCAAGGTCAACAACGTCAACCCTTCTATTTCTCTCAGCATAAGTTTACTTTTAAAAGGGTCTTCATACTTGTTCCAGCTCAGTGACTCACAATATATTGAAGGATGAGGAACATGAACCTTTCATTACAAGTTGGAAGCTCCTATATGTCTATCTGACAAGTTCCTTTAAAGTGTATCTAAAGCCAGAACTTTTTTTAAAGAGTAGAAAAGTTTTTTTTTGCTGACTGTGCCCAGTTGGGGAGATTTTCCTTTAGTTCCTGTTCCAGAAACAGAACAAGAAGTAACTAAAAAATATCCAAGACAATGGGATTCCTTCTTTTATAGTTGTCACCAGAACAGGTGTCCACATTGGAAAATTTCCCCTCACCCCCTGTAGCTGAGCTGTGAGCACCCAAAAAGTTTATATTTTCCATCACTTTCTGTTCCAGGAACAATTGTCCCCAGATCAAATAGAAAGGCTGAGTGTCCCAAGGTCAAATAAAGGGATTGAATGCCCCCAGGTCAAATGGAGGGGCTGAATATCCCCAGGACAAATGGAGGCGCTGAATGTCCCCAGGGTTAGTGGAGGGGCTGAATATCCCCAGGACAAATGGAGGGGCTGAATGTCCCCAGGGTTAGTGGAGGGGCTGAATGTCCCCAGGACAAATGGAGGGGCTGAATGTCCCCAGGACAAATGGAGGGGCTGAATGTCCCCAGGTCAAATGGAGGGGCTAAATTTCCCCAAGTCAAATGGAGGGGCTGAATGTCCCCAGGACAAATGGAGGGGCTGGATGACCCCAGGACAAATGGAGGGGCTGAATGTCCCCAGGGTTAATGGAGGGGCTGAATTTCCCCAGGGTTAATGGAGGGACTGAATGTCCCCAGTACAAATGGCTGAGCTGATTGTCCCCAGGACAAATGGAGGGGCTGAATGTCCCCAGGTCAAATGAAGGGGCAGAATGTCCCCAGGGTTAATGGAGGGGCTGAATGTCCCCAAGTGAAATGGAGGGACTAAATATCCCCAGGACAAATGGAGGGGCTGAGTGTCCCCAGGACAAATGTAGGAGCTGAATGTCCCCATGACAAATGTAGGAGCTGAATGTCCCCAGGACAAATGGAGGGGCTGATTGTCCCCAGGTCAAATGGAGGGGCTGAATGTCCCCAGGGTTAATGGAGGAGCTGAATGTCCCCAGGCTTAATGGAGGGGCTGAATGTCCCCAGGTCAAATGGAGGGGCTGAATGTCCCCCGGTGAAATAGTGGGACTGAATGTCCCCGGGTCAAATAGAGGGACTGAATGTCCCCAGGACACATAGAGGGACTGAATGTCCCCAGGACAAATAGAGGGACTGAATGCCCTCAGCAGGAGAGACGCAGCAATAAAACCAAACAGGGGATTTAACACTTCACCACTCCACCCAAAACCCAACAAAAAGTTTTGGCTTTACAAATTTTACCTTTAGGTAGTTGTCTCTAAATAAAATGTGAGGTTTTCAGTTTGTTTATTATAATTGTGACACTTGGTACCCGCAGATTTTATATTATGATTGTACAATTTGGCATATTTGATCCAACATATTTAGGGGGGAGACAGAAAATACAAGACAATTGTAAATATAGGATTCCATCAAGAGCTGAACTCTTACAGTGGACATACAGTACATGGCGTGACTATACAAACTTATTTACAACTATTTTTGGGCTCTGAGAAAAGTTATGATCAGATGATCGATCTGACCATGTTTCATGTTACCACTAAATATAGGTGTAACACGTAACACAGTCAGAAAGGTAAACTTAGCCTTTAACATACATGTATTATTTCACTTACTCAATGATATCTTGATGTCTCTAGGATTATATGAAACACATAATGCCCCATAAGCAGCAAGCAAGCCAAACGTGAGACCAGCTGCCAAGGATACAATACTACCTACAAAGGAAAGAGAGACAAATGAAATCAAATGTAAAGTAAACCTGTGTCACTTCTAAACATGTACAGTCTGCTCATACCTTTAGATCTGTCAGCAGCCAATAGAGAGACTACATATTGCAACGTATAATAACAAAGAATGAGCTAGAGAGCCAAATAAAGCAAGTCAAGATTTTAAGAAGTATTTACAGGTTGGGTACACACAAATCAATTTGGAAAGCTATAGGTCAGAGGCAGCCAAACCTAGGCCCTCCAGCTGTGGTGAAACTACAAATCCCACGAGGCATTGCAAGATTTTGACAGCCAGAGGCAAGATTCCCAGAGGCATGCTGGGATTTGTAGTGTCAGTACAGCTGTAGGATTGATGTTTAGATATCCCTGCTATAGGTTGTAAAGATTGTAAATGTTGCCTTGCTGGGCAGATATTTATTGTATACTGTATGTTTGGGCATGACACAGGTACCCTTTAAAATAAAAATGTAGCAAACCTGGGCAATGCCAACTGAGCATATGATGAAAATAAATGTATAAGCAGATGCTACCTTCATGGAAAACTGCATATATAAACAACTAATAGATCTAGAGATACTGTATACCATGCATTCAGAAAGTATTCAGATCCCCTTCACTTTTTTCAATGTTGTTGCTGCCTGATACTACATTTGCTTAAATTCATTTTTTTCTCTCATTATTCTACACTCAGCACCCTATAATGACAAAGTGAAAACAGAATTTTAAAATTGTTTGTGGATTTATGAAAAAGGAAAAACTGATATATCACATTGGCATAAATATTCAGACTCTTTGCAACAACACTTTAAATTTAGCTCAGGTGCCTCCCATTTCTCTAGATGGTTGCTGAGATGGTTCTACACCTTGATTGGAGTCCACCTGTGGTAAATTAAATTGATTGGACATGATTTGGAAAGGCACACAACTCTCTATAGAAGGCCTCACAGCTGACAATGCATACTGTATCAGAGCAAAAGCCTGAGATCAAAGGAACTGCCTGCAGAGCTCAGAGACAGGATCTGGGGAAGGCTACAAAAAATTGTCTGCTGCACTGAAGGTTCCCAAAAGCACAGTGGCCTCCATAATTCTCAAATGGAAGAAGTTTGGCACAACCAGGACTCTTCCAAGAGCTGGTCGCCTGGCCAAACTGAGCAATCGAGGGAGGAGGGCCTTAGTAAGAGAGGTGACCAAGAACCCGATGGTTACTTTGTCTGAGCTCCAGAGATCCTGTGTGGAGATTGAACAAAGTTCCAGAAGGACATCCATCACGGCAGCCCTCCACCAATCTGGCCTTTATGGCAGGGTGACTAGATGAAAGCTTCTCCTCAGTGCAAAACACATGATAGCGCGCTTGGAGTTTGCAAAAAAGCACCTGAAAGACTCTCAGACTGTGAGGAACAAGATTCTCTGGTCTGATAAAACCAAGATTGAATTGTTTGGCCTCAATTTTAAACGTTATGTCTGGAGGAAACCAGGCAACACTCATCACCTGCCCAGTACCATCCCAACAGTGAAGCATGGTGTTGGCAGCATCATGTTGTGGGGGTGTTTTTCAGCAGCAGGGACTGGGAGACTAATAAGGGTTGCGGGAAAGCTGAACTGAGCAAAGTACAGAGATATCCTCAATGAAAACCTGTTCCAGAGCACTCAGAACCGCAGACTGGGCCAAAGGTTCACATTGCAACAAGGCAACGATCCTAAGCACATAGCCAAGACAACACAGAGGTAGCTTGGGGACAACTCTGTGAATGTCCTAGAGTGGCCCAGCCAGAGCCCTGACTTGAACATCTCTGGAGAGACCTGAAAATGGCTGTCCACCGAAGGTCGCCATCCAACCTGACTGATCTTTAGAGGATTTACATAGAAGAATTACAGAAAATCCCCCAAACCTTGTCGTGTCATACCCAAAAAGACTCAAGGCTGTAATTGCTGACAAAGGTGCTTCAACAAAGCACTAAGTAAAGGGTCTAAATACTTAAGTACATGTGATTTTTCAGTTTTTTCTTTTTTTTAAATTCACAGACATTTCTAAAATTCTAAATGTGAAAAACAATATTGTGCCGAGCTAATAATCATACATTTCTAATAAATTGAAACATATATAAATGAGTCACATATGAGCCTTCAAACAAATGAGGCATAAGAAATAACTACACAAATACAAAAAAGCAATATAGGCAAAAAAAGTCCCAAGGAAAAAACAAACGCAAACGATGGTGACTGTGCACAAAATTCCTCAGATGATTCGCAGCCAATGTGCATATAACTCTCAGGTAAGGATTATCACACAATGCAGGCAGACCTTCACCTCCACCCAGTGAGTGATGATAACAAGTGAATGCTCACCTGGGGAGGTAGACCCACAGAGCTAGGTCAAATGCACTTTTTCCCTTCTTAATGGGGGATAGAAGCCCATGCACAGAAAATATAAGATAAGGTCTCCTAAGATCACTGAGAATCATTTGAGGAATTTTGTGCACAGTCACCATCGTTTGCGTTTGTTTTTTCCTTGGGACTTTTTTTGCCTATATTGCTTTTTTGTATTTGTGTAGATATTTCTTATGCCTCATTTGTTTGAAGGCTCATATATGTGACTCATTTATATATGTTTCAATTTATTAGATATGTATGATTATTAGCTCGGCACAATATTGTTTTTCACATTTTCCAGATATTTAGTTATATCCTTAGTGCTTGGTAGCTCATATTTCCACATTACACTTACTGGCGCTGATCACCTTTATTGTTTAGTTTTATTTCTAAAATTCTGTTTTCACTTTGTCATTATGGGGTGCTGAGTGTAGATTAATGAGGGGAAAAAAAAAGAATTTAAACAACTGTAGTATCAGGCTGCAACATAACAAAATTGAAAAGAGTGAATGGGTCTGAATACTTTCCAAATGCACTGTATATGGCTGATTTTATATGCAAATCCTAGGCTGAAACACCCTTTTGCGCTTATGTGCGAACTTTGTGATGTCATTAATTTCGAATGGCACCCTAATGCACTCAGTAAACACAGCTTTGGCATATTGTGTTGTGGTGTCCCGTGTCAGAAAAAAAGGGCTTTTAGGGAGGCACATGGTTCAGAAAGAGGCAGGGCCATGCTCAGTCAAGATTAGCATATGAAATTCAGATACTTGTGTCTTTTGATCATGCTGACATGGTTTATTTAATCTTTATGCATTTTTCTGTATTCTATAACTAAAAAACTAAAGGTTAATTACACCTTTCATACTATGTTCCACTTATATTTCAGGTTTAACATAGAACATGATGTCATTCTGCAGCCGCCCAGCCTCAACCGAATCCCCCCCCCACCTGCTTGAATTGTAGGGTTCTTTTCCTTGCAGGTTCCAGTGTATATTTTATTTTGCTGTTTTCCCACTCAGACGCATGATTCATTCATAGTATCTGTAAATGGAAAAAACTACAAGTCCAGAGGGACTCGTAGATCTCAATGGCGTACAAGTTGTTGTGATGTCACCATAATTATATTCTACTGTTAACTTCCTCCAGCTCCATAACCAAAAGTCCAAAAGCAGGAGCCTCTGCACTGCCCTCAGTGATCCATTGATCCAACTGCAATACTTTGCAGGCTCCAAAGAAAAAAAATCAATAATCATTTGAGATATGGGTGCATTTATTCATTTTTTTTCAATAAGTGTTATATGATTCTAAAGCAACAAAATGCATAATGGCAATCAAGATTAAATGTGGAACATTACATTTTTTTATGGACACTTACCTTTCCGAGAAAACCCCATTAGGCCACCAAAGGCCAAGAGGGCAGCGTATCCGAAACCAAGCCAGTCCACAGCCATGATTCTGAAAACATTCACAGACATAGTTATAACTATTTGTTCTTAAAATATTGACCTACAGTATTCTGAAACTTCTACAGAAAATATTTATTCATAGGAGGAACTCATAGAAATCCATACACAGATATAGAGAAAATACAAGCTTTGCGGTGAGTATATTGGAAGGTGACCCAGCTATCTCATGGACCTCTGCAGCTATTCTAGTGATAGAGAGCTGTTGGTACCTGAAAAGAGAGTGACTGACACTGGCTTCATTATATGAGGAAATGTCTGCATCTGAATTCACTTTCAGCCCAGAAACTGAATTGTTTCTGAAGCTAGGCACTGGAAACAGAGGTAAGTACACACTGACATGTATCCTTGTATAGCCCACACCTACACTGAGTGGCCAGATTATTATGACCACCTGACGTTTGTAGGCAAATTAGCTATGATTTTGCGCTGAAGTTGCTAGAGGGCCAGACCATTATAAATAGGGAAGCAGGTTGTTTACCACGACAGTAGAAGCAATGCACAGATACTGTCAATGATTGCTGTATATCATTCCGGACATCCCAACCTGCAAAACCTCATTTCAGGGGGTGTCCTTTCTGTTTTTTTTATTTTTACAGCACCCGCTTTTAGAGTAAAAAAAACAAAAACAACAGATAACAGGGGATGAATAGCTAAGCTACTATTGGCTATTTCACTTTGTAATAGTCAATAGCAGGCGGGCTATTGCAACCACCCACTGCTGCTATCAATCCACAGAGCAGGACCAGAAGGAGAACTCAGCAGATTGACAGCAGCAGTGGGCGGGTGAAACAGCCAGCCTGCTATTGGCTATTGCAAATTGAAATAGCCAATAGCAGCCTATTCCCCTGCTATCTGTTGTGTTTTTTAAAAATTATTATTATGACAGCGGCCAGCGGCTGCTATAAAAAAAACAAACAGCAAATGAATAGCTAGGCTGCTGTTGTGTGTATCCCGGAATGGGTTACCTGCTAGATAGAGCAGAGTAAGCCTTTTTGGCATAAAATGTTTCTCTTGCGGGCATCAGGGAGCCGCTATCTTATAGCGGGAGACTCCCAAAACGTTGCGGGAGAGTTGGGATGTCTGTCATTCATATATTAGGGACAGAGAACAGCAACGTAACAATCTGTTATCTGTTCTCCCAATAGCAATGGGCTGTGGATGTCTGCTCTGTTCAGTCCTTCTGCCAGTTCTTTATAGGGTTAAAGCAGACCTATAAAAATCTGACTAGCTCAGCTTAGTCCATGTGCTCCTGAACATCAGTATGTCATGTTTAAAAGGGTGATCATCATCTCCAACATAGCATAAAAGGCCAAACTGTTCACACCTAGGCGTTTTGTTGCTCAAAGCTAAGCATGACAAAATGCTGAAGACAAGGAATCCTACTTATTTCTACAGCCCCTGTTCACACCTGAGCGTTTTGTCGTGCGTTTGTCGCACAAAGTTTCCAATTGAGGTCTATGGGACTAATAAGTGCTGTAATCTGCCATAAAGTAGCTCATCTACGTTTTTCAGCGACAAGCATTTTTCTGCTTGCAACAAAACACTCAGGCCATAGGAATGAATGGGATTCCTTCTCTTGAGGTTTTGCAACGCTTAGCTTTTGATTTCTTTGAATGTAAGCACTACAAACTGAATGTTGTAATATTGCACTCTTATTTGTAGGGATGAACCTATACTGGTTTTCGGTATCGAGTACGTGTACCGTTTTTTTTGGTACTCGGCGATACCGAATGCCGATACCAGAAGTCCCATTAAGGAATCCAGGCGGCGTGTAAAGACTCGCCACCCGGCTTCCCGATTGGCCAGAAAGCTGGCTCCATTCTTTCTCGTCATCTAGTGATGAGAAGTATGGAGACAACTTCCCTGCTAATCAGGAAGCCGGGCAGTGAGTTATTACACCCTGCCCGGCTTCCTGTTTGGCAGGGAAGCCGGCCAAACAGGAAG